CACACACACACACACACACACACACACACACACACACACACAATGCAACTAATATTAGACCAACCAGCATCGTTTGTAAATTCAAGCAATTTATTTATTTTTGTGTGCGTCTTTTTTTACCCACACTTTCAACCCCAGTTTCATTGTTTGAAGTAAAAGTGACGATAAAGATCTCATCTCCTCCTCCTCACGGCTGCCCTCACTTCCTCCTGACTAATCCTCTGCACTTTCTGATTCACAACCTCTCCTCCATCTGTTCTCCTCCCTCTTGGAACGGTTTATACAGCTGATTAATCCAAACCATCAACAGATCTGCAGACAAATGACAGAATCTAAACTGTATTGGCCCGCTGTGAGATTATTGGTCTGTCGGAACTCACCTGTGGCCAGGAAGCGATGTGCCGCCAGCATGAGCTGAGGAGTAATCTTCACTTTACTTTCCCCGTCGTGTTTAAAGGCAGAGAAGTCGGGCTTGTTTTTATGAGGATCCACCTTCTTCTTGTTTCTGTTGTCAGCTGAATATGAACAAAGATGGAGAGTGAGGGTACAAACTGAGCCTTTTTAAATCATAATAAAAATATAATTGATGTCTGCTGGTCCTAACATCTGTAAAAAACAGGAAATACTTCAGTTTTTAAAAACACATTTTGTTTCAAACAATAACATATCTATAAGTAATAGGGCTGCAACGATACAGAAAATTCACGATTTGGTTCAGTTCGATACCTTAGTCTCACGGTTTAATACTTTTTTTGATACAAATAACCAAAATTTCCATGCCCTTTTTTAACTTGTAATTTAGTGAAATTATTTATGAACATTTGTTTTTAAATTAAATTTAAACTTAAATTTTGATGAAACAGCAAGTTTCTCAGTGGATCTGCGCTCGAAAATGCAGCCTAGGTGGAGTAGTCGAACACAGATCCTCTGATCCTTCAACACAGAGCATCTTCAGAAGACAAGTTAATAAAATAATTTTTAAAAATCTATATTGTTCGATACAAGTGTGTATTGAACATAAAGCACTGTATTGAACGGTTTGATACGGGTACATTTATTGTTGCACCCCTAATAAGTAACCCAACAACTTCAGACCACTTCTATCTGCTGTCAATCAAAATCCAAACTGCCATTACTCCTGTTGTTGATCCTGATGTTTCTGGCAGGTTTGAGGTCCACTTCTACCAAGTTGACTCGATCCAGATCAACATGTGAGAATCACAACCTGTTCAGGACAGGATTTTATCATGAAGACCGCCTGGATGAGAAGAGGCTGAGAAGCTGCTGATTCACCGAGGAGTTAATTGAAGAAGGACCAGATGCAGACCTCTCTTCTGAGAGGACACTAACAATAGTAGGGCTGTGTATTGGCAAGAATTTGGCGATACGATACATATCATGACAGAGGGGTCATGATACGATATATCCCGATGTCCTGATGCATCTCAGTAAAACAGGTAAAAAATCAAAAGGAAAAAAAAATTTGCCTGAAATTTGCCTGAAACTCTCAGACTGAAGAAGTCTCTTGGAAGAGAGACGAAACGTTTCATTAAAGAAGAACCCGTCCAGAAGACCTATACAATTTTTTTCCTTTTGATATATCCCGATATATTGCGATACTATAAGCAAGGCGATATATTGCGATTTTTTTGTCCAAAAATTCTATTAAATAAAAACCTCTTACAGGGGGAAAAAATGAAAAACCAAAATTCATTGTCTCAGAAAATTCTAATATTACAGAGACATACTTTCGACGCATTTAGCTGTGTTAAGCTTTGTATGTATTTTATTTTATTTGCTTCATATTTCTTATTTCATCCATGTTTTCAATTATTAGACTAAATTTGACAATAAATAGTTAATAAATAATAAATCGATACAGGGCTTTAGCATATCGATACAGTATCGGGAAATGAAATATCGCGATATTTCAGTGTATCGATATTTTCTTACACCCCTAAACAATAGGTCGGGGGATATGGATCGATCCAGGTAATAATCTGGATACTAACCCTTGTGCAGTTTAAATCTTTTAACGACACACTTCTTCAGCTGAACAGAGGTCCAGTTGCTTCGTCTTTGTTCTTTTATTTTGTCATGTCCTGAATGACAGGGAATCCACAGAAATATATGATAGTAACGCTGTTCTAAACTAGGATTGGTTGAAATCATATTGCAATCATGTCCTGAGCAAACTACATCCATAAAAGTCAAACAGCCCAATCATGTCTTGGACAAACTATGTCCACAAAACAAGAAACTCCAACTTAGTGACTGCAAGGACCCCCTTCTGGAAAATGCAGACCAAGAGCACGTCGGACACAACCAAGTGCATTTATCATCTATCAGGGTCTTCACCAGTAAACGGGTCAAGGCTGGGGGTCTGCAGCTAAATGCCACAATTAATCATGACAACATTGCTTGAATATTTCACCCAATATTCTAGACCATGTCGATAGAAAAGTAGCTGAATCGATCCTTTAGTGAGTTTTACTTGAAGCATATTGCTTTGTTGCACAAACACGCTGCACCGAAGCAGCCGGTCAGAGGCAGGTTAAATGTAAACACTGAACTAAACAAGCATGTCATAATTAATGTGCTCTGATTACACAACAACTTCAGAATCGATGCACATGCTAACGTGTAGCATCCACGTTTACTTCTGTAAACAGCCAGCTGAATGTGACGTCACATCTTCCTCTGCTCATGTGGGTCAAATCAATGCTTTGGAGAGTTCACACTGGAGTTAGGTGGAGGTCAAATTTAAAATATAATGTGAACGCCTACACAAAAAAAAAGAGCAAAAAATCTGAACTGCATTAAGACCTGTAGTGTGAAAGCAGGCTTAGTCTATGTTTTCCTTCAAAAGTAGGACCTTCAAGTTTTTGCCTCTCACAATAATTTCTGATAGTACTTTCATCTGGGGTTTACAAGTTTTTATCTTTTTTTTTTTTTTGCATAAACTTAAATAAATTAAAGGAGCAATATCATGTAAAATCAACTTTTTTGAGTTTTATATCATGTTATAATGTTATACTCTCATAAAAACATGCCCAAAGCCTTGCTCTGACTCATTCATGCATGTTTGAGAAATC